AGAACGAAGTGCCGCTTTTTAGACTTCTTTTTTCAAAATTTTGAAAGTCACGTACGTTCTGAAAATGTGCAAGTGACTTGTTTGTATTTGTAAATGATTAGAATAATTTTCAAAATGTTTTAAAAATCCAAATTAACCTTGAGAAAAATGTTTCGTGGGCGCAGCGGTTAAAAAATTAGGAATCATCGAGAAAAATTGCTTGGAGTGCATATTGATGCTACGCATCTTCATTCGAAGAATTTTCTGCCCCCCCCCCCTCTCCCCATCCTGGAAATCCTGCGACCACCACTGCATCCAGTTGAAACAATCTTTCAAGAGCGTTATCAAAACTCTCCGTAAGCCGAATAAACAGCAAACAAGTTATTAGCGTAAATACCTTCCTTTCGACATTCTGGAGATTTCTTGGACTACATAAAATTTAGAGAACTTTATTGCACTTTTCATAGTATGCATTTATTTGAGCAGAAGAAACCCTAACTAAACGTTATATCCTTCAGTAGGAGGTAGGCTCTTTTCTGTGTAAGAGATTGGTATAACGGCTCGAACTCGTCGTCCGGTTTCGACGACGTACGCATCACCGACAAAACCCATAGCCTTTACAACATCTCCTGCGCGAAGCACAGCACCCGAATGTTGATCTGGAAAGGCATTTTTAAGAAGCTTGTATTACGATAGTCCGTAAATTATTTAAAGAGAGTTTTAAAAAATCTGAATGTGTCTGGGCTTCTTCTGTGAAAAACGACTGTAGGCTTCAAGTAAGCCGCTGCCCAACCGGCAGCTTGTATGCATCAATAGTGGAAGAGAAATTCAAACCTAAACTCTAGCCCAGACCGTTCTACACTGCTCGAAGGGATAATTGGTACTCCATGAGATTACGGTCTGGGCGCGAGTTTAGAGTTAGATTTCTCGGCAATAAACGAATCTTGCAAATTGCCATTTGGGCGATCTTGTTGTGAAGGGGTCCCAATCATCATCCACATAAATTATCCAGGTACCTAGGTTCGCCTGAATGCTGCCTTTAAGTCAGTGATGGACACTAATTTCATTACTGATGGGTCATTTCGAGTCACTTGGGACAGCATCAAATTAACGAGTCGGTCGATGATCTCTCGCGTCGAGAGGCGAACTGCCACGTAATGAAAATAAAGAAAACACGCGACATTTGTACGGATCTTCACTAAAAACAGAAGCGAAAGCCTCTATTTTTGGCAAGCTGACTAAAAAGGGCTCACAAGAAAGTTTTTAGTTCCCACCGTGAAAATCCACTATGACATTTCTCCTTTGGGGAAACACGTGTTTCTTTCTTTCTCGCACTTCATACATTCTGGGAGATGGGATTGTAGGTTGAATATCTGCTTCAGCAGCAAGATTCGGAAGCACTGTCCAGCTACTGAAATGAGCAAGAACTAACAAAAAGATGTAAGAACAGTTCTACGCACCTGCACATATTGGAAGTTAATGGAGAAGAAACTCCAAACAAGCCAAGCTGCCTTGAGATGCAGCTTTCCTGGATTCTACAGTACTCCAAGCGGTCATTTGACTACAATAGAAGTTCTAATAAATTGTGTTCAAGCCATTTTACACAATAACTTCAATGCAGAAAGTTCTAATGATAAAGATGGAACAAGTCGGCTTATTCTACAATGAACTTTGCCTTCAAAATTTCGTAAGAGGAAGTATCATAGATTCTCCATTTGCTTCTCATTAGCACTTTCTCAAGAGTTACAGGAAATACTGCTGAATAAATGCTGAGATAATTATTGAGTACGAGAAATAAATTCACATTATGCGAATGATGCAATTTCTTAAGTTTGGGAATGGCAACAAACTTGTACACTTACTACTTTACACGACCTTATAATTATTGAAGTACGAGAAAAATGTGAAATTTTCGCGCTTCGAAATTCCCAGAAGCTCATTTGAACAGTGCTGCTTGAAAAGTACAAAATTATTCGATGCAACATGTCTCTCGTTCACTAAGAAATATGTTCAGTTTCCATGATAAAAATCTGACACACAATGGAATTATGCTCTAGCAGGTAAGAGCTGGGAAACATTCACATCAGGAAAGATGATTCCGGTCCGTATTACTGATCATGTAGAAAAAGTATGAGCAAGAGTTTACAGCACTTTGATGATAACTTTTTTTTCAAAATTCTTGTATTGAAATTGATCCGTAGCCTATTCGCTAAAAGCTTCATCTCTGTAAATCAGAATTTTGCAAGTGATTCCTAAGCAGTGCCATAAGATTGGAAAGAAGTCAACAAAAATCAGAATATTTTGAGCATTTCCTCACGAGCTTGAATGGAAACTTTCATTGAGTTCTTAATGTGCTCTTTTAACCACTATCACCTCGTTTCATCTGGAAGCTTTAGCAGAAACAGGACAGTTTGAGCTTCTCTTCTCATCGTGAATTTTTGGCTAGAAACTACTTCGTCTCAGGATATGTTTGGATGTAACTCTACAGTTCTCAGATTGACTCAGAAATGCTTTGCTCAAGTTGTTTGGGGCAAGTAAAAAGGTAAATACCACAATTAAGCTCTTGCTTATCCTTCAACTCAAGAAGTAAAGTACTGTGATATAGCGCAAATTCTGTGGACAGCATTTCATAATCTACTTGAGAATGAATGGTAAATCTTTTTAATCATGACTAATCCGTGTTCTGACCTTGAGACATATACAATGCCGTATCGTCGATTCGGACAACTCTTGTTGAAGACGATTTGTATGTTCAAGCACACTTTGGATGAGTGTTGATGTGTCGAGTTCCAAGGTCAAACTGGACGGCTCCAAATTCTCATCAGCACACATTCTCTCGACGTCAGACGCAAACAATTTGACAACAAATTGAAATGCGCACGAGCGTGCATCAAATAAGAAAACCTGCAAGCAATTTGTGCAATCCCCATGTGCCTTAAAGACCGATCTGGATGGTTACGACAACAATAGAAATATATTAAAACTCTAAAGCATTAAAAGCGAAAAGACATAACTCGCTGCGCTATTTGGCAATGTGCCAGATGTCTACAACAGACCATAAGTACATTTTTAGTATGCAGTATGTGGTGTACTTGCACCAATTGGCAAAAAAAGGGGAGCAAAACACATTTGAAACTGGCGCGCAGTGATTTGCAGACATCTGTCAAGTCGCCAAATCGCGCGCCGCGCGTAATCGCGAGGATATACCACCCACTACTGACCAGTTCTCGTGCAACCACGTTCTCATTTCTTTGATACATTCGCATGAAGTCATATATGACCTCGAGTTGTCCATTGCAGTGTTGGATGGTGGTTGTTGTACGCCTTAATTATGGATTCACTAATGAGGTATGCAGCTAATGAAATATGACACTGGATCCATGACTTTTCACCTCGTACCTTCTCATCGAAGTGCTTTCGTGCACCTTGCTAGTTAGCTCTATGCGCTGCAATAGCTCGGAGACCTGAAATTTCCTTCAAGGGAATGTTCACAATTTTTTGCTTTACCTTATCGGTACTGTGTCCGGCAAGCGAATCATTGACTGTGTTGATGAGCAATTCCGAAAGAGAGTTTGTCTTGTTACTGATGTACCCTGGGGCATCCACAACATGTACAGTACGCGTATCCGTCGAGGACCAACCGTTGCTGCCTCGAGAACAACATTTGGACAGTTTTCTACATAAGTCAGAACTGCTTTAGAGAAAAAAACACTTTCCAAAAATTTTCCTCACAAAAACCTTTCGATGATGTGTTCTGCAGGCAAAATTCAATCGGATATCTCAGAAAAAACTCGGCTGAACAGCAAGATCTTGTCTCAACTTCCATCCATTTCCATTTAATTTCCTGTTTGGGTTTCTGTGAGTGAGCGGAGTGCTCAAATGCTCAAACACCATACTCAATGATGTTAACCAAACTTGAAAGAAACCCGGGCCTTTTTAAATGTTTATTTTGCACTCAGTTTCTTCGCACTTCGGGATAGAACCACACATCTGGATTTGTAACTAAACTGAGCTTCGTTGACGGCATTCCTAATTTCTAGGAGGCGATTGCGGAAAGCCCGATATTCTTGGGATGCAGATAATTAGCTGAATTTGCAGGTTTATGGTACAAGATTTCTAATGAAATGCTCGGAGTTATAACTTTTTACTTTTCGGAAACAATCAAATCAATTGAAGTTGTAACAGCAAAAATTTTTGCTAGTGTCAGATTTACACAAGCTGGTTAAATCGAGAACTTCATGGGCACCATCGACAGCGCTCATATATGGGAAATTAACAACAAATAATAAAAAATTGTTTCAAAAAACTCTTATACTTGAAATATTGATACTTTTAATTTTTGAAAAAGATTGAGTTAGTATATTGAAATCATTATCATAACTAATATTGATACTTTCATTTTTTGAAAAAGATTGAGTTATTGTATATTGAAATCATTACCATAACTTTCGCTTGCTTCTTTCGTTACAGCGCAAAGAAGCAAGGTCATTTGTGCAATCAGCAAACTATATAAAACAAATTGTAATTTTATTACAGCTTACCTGCTCTTTTCATCTCGATATTCTCTTCGAGACCCATAAGACTTCCCAGCGAGGTATTTGCTCGCATCAAAATCATCCTCAAAACGCGTGTATAAATAGCCGATACTAGCTGATCACGGGTGAGCTGGCACTGAAAACAGATTTACTTGAGTTCAAACTCCTTATTCTGACATAAAATAAAGATTTTCACCTCTCTGATGGAACATCTTGCAGTTAAGGTGCTTTTCATTATAGCTCTGTACATTGCCAAGGCGGACGTTCCGAGAAGAGCGCTTGCATCTTCCAGGTCTAGAAAAATCTGCTATGTCTTGTAGCTGACTTAGGTTGCACTTACCACTGAGATTCTCGATATCAACGGTACCATTCATTTCCTTGAACGATAGGTTGTTCAACAGAATACAAGCAGAAATAACCTGAATTAAAGCGTAGTAAATTTTCGACAATAGGTCTTGATTTAGCCAAAAACAAAATCTCTTCAACCTTGAATATATCTTCATGCGATATGCCTAACTCAGTGAGTGCAGACCTCAGATCTGCGACATTGCCAAAGCCTTGGTGGTCATCTTTTAGACGAAAACCGGAGATACGGTAGTTTTCTGCAAAAAACAATTCTTTGTAAAGTAAACGAATTCCAACGTGATTAATTTGGGGTATTCTTGCATGGAAGTGGACTCTTTTGCACAAGCTACCGTAATTTATTGCAGATTTTGAGAATCATATTCAGAGCAGTGATCCTGTAAGGGTGCGAAACGCATCCTAGCAAATGGATGCTCCATTCAATCAATAACTATGCTAGGTACGTCCCGTGTCTTACTGTAGCATACTGTAACTGTGCAAAAGTGTCCTTGTCCACCTTTTACATACCTTTATCGTGTTCATCCAAATCATTCGCAAGCATTGCGAAAATATTCGCTCTACATCCTCTGCTTGGCGAATCCAACATAAAGTGCTTCAATCTAACACACATTAAGCGCCCATTTCGGATGCAAAACTCCATGTGAGCCAACTAGAAGCAACCATTTGCAATTAGGAAAGTTTTTTAGAAGATGGCCTTACAGCAGTAGAGGACTGATTATTGTGTTTGTTGTTTATCGTGATGAAAGGTCGTAGAGCAACAAAAGCAGCATGCAAAATAGCAAAGATGGTCCCTCGTGGACAGAATCGTTTTGCGATGTCAAGACAAATGAGCTCGGAGATCTGCGATTTACCAGAGCCAGCGACACCTCTGCCATGAAAATAATCAAAAAAAAAGATTTGATGCGAACAAGGCTTACCTCAAAATGAGCGCTGCATTTCTTTGTTTAAGCAGGGAGACAGAAATACTTGAGATAGCAGGGCTTGGCCTTCTTTTCGAAAACGATATATCGCTATATGGGTTCACAAAAAAGAGCCTTCCATTGTTCATGTACTGAATTAGTTTTTTTGTTTGAATCTCTTAACACGAAAAGCTACGGTAGGGTTACTGTAAAGCCACTCACCCAACAAGTTCCCTGTGGAAATTTTTCCAGAATTGCATCTAGAAATTGTTCTTCAGTACAGTGATAAGGAGCACCAGCGGCTTCAACAGGAGCTCCTAGAAAAAATGGTGCAAGAGAATTATCTCATAAATCACGTGATGATTCAATGCTTGTAATAACTGCGAGTGGAAACTTGAAAATCTAAACTAACTACCGTAATACCTTTGCAATGCACCATAGAAGATCTATGAGACTGGCGTGGATTGTCACGAAACGTTCTCAGTGGTTTAGGCGGTGCCCCTATGTTGTCCAGTGAGCCTATGAAATTTTTTTATACAGACAAAAAGCCAAATTCATAGGGAAATAACTAACCCGCCGCCTTGGGATAAACCCCACTCAATGTCTGATTGGCAGAAGTAGGTCTTGACGAGAGATCAAGATGAGAAATAGTTTGTTTGTGAGAAATTCGAGGAAGCGTAGCATCCATCGGTTTGATTCTTATAGATGCTCTGAAACAAGTCATAAGACTACACTTATGTGTTTCATAATTTCAGCCGACGCGATTTCCAAAAAAAGTAATTTTGTAAAGCTCATATCAGCAGATCAGAAAAACCCATAAGCACTATCGTATAGTCCGAGATATGCTCTATTTTTATCATTTTTGATCTTTTGCGAAGCTCTGAATAAAATTTTCGAAAATTTGCCGAACTTTGAGCAAATACAGAGAGTATTATTATAGATTATTATATATTTGGATTTTGCTAAATTTCAAACTTTCTGGGGAACTACTGACGAGGGGCACAAGGAAGATGCACTACCGATATTTTTTGCCCGAAACCGGATAGTGTAAACATACAAAAAACATTGGGTTTCTTATGTTCCTGTCTGATTTTATCATTTTTGTCAAATGCTTTTTATTACAAAAACACAAAATCTGCTTTAAAAATTGTGGCGTTATCAGTGAGCATTCAGAAGATTGACTGAAGAAAATGTGACTATTGAAAACTAAAAGCCACACTGAATGCATATTTAAATACGTCCATTTCTTCATTGTAAGGATTTTTACAATTGTTTGAAAAAAAAGGATAACACTTTTAGGATGATCTAGTACATAACTGGACATCTCACCTTTTTGCTTTCGGAGTTGGTGTGTTGGAGCAGGCAGAGGAGCAGAGCGATAGCGTATTTTTGACCACAGGTGCTGATAATTTCGAGTTTATAAAATAATCAAACACTGTATAGAAAAAATGTTTTACTTTCTGGAAGTGGTGTTAGTGTAGGTTGTGGAGTGGGAGAACAGTCGGTATCGAATGGTGAACACAAAACTGTTGACAAGCGTGAATCCAACGTGCTCATCTCAGATCTGAGGCATTAATGACTTTTTCTTACAAATTTGTTTTTTAAGAGAAAATTTCTTAACCTGCTTGTGGTATTTGTCTCCTCCGTTTCTTCACTAATTCGCGTATGAAGCTGTGCTTTCACCATCAACAATTGCTGGGACAGCTAAAAAAGTATTTTTTAAATCAAAGCATTTTTAGAAAATTTATAATCTTTTCCACCTTGTCAATCTCGTCCTTCAGTCGATGTACGTCTACAGATCTGTTCGATGGTGCATACCTGTTCGGCACCGGTGGTGGTGCCTGCGAAGGACGACACCTTGGCAGCGTCCTGCTCTGCTGTTTCATCGGAATAATGCCATTACTGTAGTAGTACCTTATCTGGTTGGGTGGAAATCAAAAACATTGAGTATACTAATTCTAAGGTGAATCGCAATAGCTGCAAATGCTTTTGAGCACTGGTTGATTCATGAAGTAAAAAAGCGGGAAGTTGTGCTCGCTTATGTTTTGATGCTGAGGAATAACAAGAGAATTAGTACACGGAAACTTGCGAAACATGTTTTTAGGTTTCCTGATTCCAAAGTTTTGATGGCTGGTGGAGAAGATGTGAGAGAGAATGGCTTAGAAAGTTGGCATACTTTGAATTACTGAAGTACAATCTTCTGGAAACGTTTTGACCCCACAATGTGTTAATTACAAGAACCAAGTCAGCATCTTTTTGATAGGCAAGTAAATTGATGGTCGTGATAGTATTTGTAAAAAAAAAGTCTGCGGGACATGGATACCAAGTATAAAGATGAGGCTATTACGTTGAGATTAGAAGTCTTGCACCAAAAAATATTAAAATTTTTTTGAAAATGTCCGAACACTCTTCTCAAAAATAATATGCTTTTTATATTATATAACATATCAAGTCCGTACCTCTTCCTATATTAGCGATCTTTTCGACTCGAAAGGAAGAAGTTGAGTGAAATTCGAAAACTATTGGAAGAAGCATCCGATCATTTCGAATTATTTTTAGTCAGATAGCAAAGACATGTCATAAAACCAAAGGCAAAACTAAAATAAGAATTTATAGAACGTAGTATTTTCAGGGAGCGAATTTCTAAAATCCACTTTTTGTGTGCTCTTCTTGATCAACTTGTATCTTTGCGATACGGCAGTAGTATATATTTTGCTTTTAGTAATTTTTGAAAATGCTAGATTTGCTCTTCCTACTAAACACCAGAGTAAATATTTCACTGAACTTGGAAAAGATTATGAAACCTCCTGATTTTTGGTTCCCTCATATTTCGATCTAATAGCAGAATATATTGAGATTTTTCTAGAATCTTAATTAATAAGAAGTTGGAATGGAGGTGAAAAACGCGAAGAAAAATCAAATTTTGCTTCAGTGAAGATACGCCGAACGAAATCGAGTTTGACGAGCAACTTGAACGATGCTGTGCTAGTATACGATACGAGACGAGATTTTGATCGTAACCGCTGATGTCCTTTGGCCGAGGTTGAAACGAAAAGAACTGGATCAGCATTATAACCGTGCAAAAAATTACATTTTGCATACATTGCTAGATTTGAGGTCTCTGAATAGGAAAATCGTGATTATGTGGACAGTGATTGTCCTATAGATGTCAATGTTGGCTTGACAGTGCGAGAGGTGCGAAAGTGTCAGCTGTCATTAAACAATGCTAGTCTAGGGGAATTTGTCATAGATGTACATGATAATGACAAAACGTTTGTAGTAGATTTACGAAGGTTGCCCATTCCAGCATTACCTAAATGAGCCCGCCCCAAAGTACCCAATACAAAAATGTGACTTCGTAGATGGAACTGAGCTCCCTATTACATATTTCAAAGGATGTCTGGTCTATGATCTAGCTTTGTCACAAACGAAGTCTTTGTCGGCCTTGTTGAGGGCTTTCAACAAATCCCTAAATTGTTCTTACACAAAAAATCTAGTCTGTAGATGTGCAAAACTTTGTATTGCCTACAATTGGGCATGTGTCCGTTCAATCCGATTCATTAATTTAATCTTATTAGGGTGAAAAGTAAAAAGTGGGACACCTAAAAAAGAACTGTAGATTTCTCAAGAAAAAGAAGTGATTGCACTTTCCAATTTTGTTCAATATTAGAACATATTGTTCTCTTTCAGATGACACCCATTAAGGTCATCAACGTACTTAATAGTTTTTATATTTGCTGAAATACTAAGTTAGTCACTTCAACAAATTATAAACTTCGAGCAGTATCTGCGCAGTGAAACGTGTCAGACCATCCAAAATAACACTGCTACAATGGGTGAAGGTACAGTCACCAAATTCACGATGACTTGCTGGCCGCAACGCTTAAAGTCATTAGATATGGTCATTGGCATTTTCCGGAACGAAGATGCGTCTTATTCACTTCTTTACAAGTGAACGCATGTTGTCTGGCTACCATCTATAGAGCTCTTTACCCTTAATCCATCCATATGCAGCTTGCCTCAAATTTCATCTGTCCTAGGAAGATATAGGTTGAAAAGGATTTTTTGTTTTTTATTGCACTCCAAAAAATCGCGACTTTTCAAGTATTTTGCTTTTTTTATTCAGAAATAAAAGGAAATCCTGTATGTTTAATATATAGTTTGAAAGAGCATGAAGAGCTCATTCGAAAGATATGTCAATTGCTTTATGACTTCACGGTATAGCAGCGCAAGTATGAGAGATGTTCAAAAGATCGTGTTTGAGTTCTTCACGGCGCCACGCGCAGGTTTGTGGGAGAGGAGCGTTAACACGTTACCAGAATAATAGGCGAAGCCCGCTTATGTAAGTGACGTTCAAGTTGCAGCCTACTTGCTCTTGATCGAAATAAAAAATCTCAAAATGTAGTAAAAATAAAGCTACACCATTTTTTGCCGTTCACCCTAATAGTATTAGGTTGAACCGAAAGTTCTTTCCCCCCATCTTCAAAAATTCATAACTTCTGATTTTTTCAACCAATTTGGCTGAGTCTATTTTTGTATGAAAGAGTAAGTCATGTCCTTTATAACGACACCTTAGCTGTTTGCTAATGGTCATCCGTTGCATAGATAGGAGCGATAGAAGAAAAATGGTCAAAATTCGAATTTTTCGTGTAGGGTCATAAAAAATCGGAAGCTTGCAAGAAAAATCGGAGCAGTCAGTATTATAAGTTCTGTTACCTGCTCTTTCTAACTGTGCAAAATTTGCGCCGATTGAGCGTCTCTATGAAAAGTTACGATTTTCGAGCAAGCAATACAAAAGGGCGAATTTGATTTATTTTGGCATTTTTCAGGGAAATCATAACTTTTCATAGAGACGCTCAATCGGCGCAAACTTTGCACTCTTAGAAAGAGCTGGTAAAAGAGCTTACAATACTGACTGCTCCGATTTTTCTTGCAAGTCTTTGATTTTTTATGACCCTACACAGAAAATTCAAATTTTGATTAATTTTCTTCTATCGCTCCTATCTATGCAACAGATGATCACTAGCAAGCAGCTAAGATGTCATTATGAAGAGCATGAGTTACTCTTTCATGCAAAAATAGATGCAGCCAAATTGGTTGAAAAAATCGGAAGTTATGAATTTTTGAAAATGGGGGGAAAGAACTTTCGGTTCAACCTAATATAAGCATATTTTGTGAAAACCTAAAAGTTATCAATCTAGAGACAGTCCTGAATTTCAAATGAAAACTCGAAGGAATTCAAACAGTAGAATTTTTGTAGATTTTCCCAGCAGAGGTTGATCAAACATTTACATTGGCAAGTTGCCAGATCAGCCGAATCGGCTACATCTTGATATAAATAAATAAGTAAGTAAATAAATAAATAAATAAATAAATAAATAAATAATAAACAAATAACTAGCTGACTTCTATAAGTGCTCTATTGACTTGGAAAATAAAAATCGTTTCCATTCTAGAGGTTGACTTTGATCTGAAGCTGTGCCAAATTGTTTTCCAGTTTTCGAGCCAACTCAACCATTCTAGAGGTTGACTTTGATCTGAAGCTGTGCCAAATTGTTTTCCAGTTTTCGAGCCAACTCAATTCTCAATCTG